GTTGACGAGAAAAGAGGAGGCGGTTGTTCCCACCCCAGATGCGAAGTCCAGCATCACCTCCCCAGTTTGATTCTGGCCGCTAAAGCCAAACAAAAGCCTTTTCTTTGCTTGCTCTTTGTTCAGCTAAGAACTGTAATGGTTGTCAGGACTGGATTCCCGTGTGCCCTCAATTACAGGCCATCTGTAAGTCATCATAAGGTAATAATTTTGTTTACCCTGCGGTTCTGAAGTTAGGCTATGGCTAAAAATTCAGGCTTGCTTTGAAAATTCATGGCCCACCTTTCCATTGCTTGCCCTTAGAAATATTTTTTCTTTAACCATTCTATATTGACCACATATAAACAATGCAAAATTACTGAAAACTACATTATTTCAGATATTTCTTAGAATTTTTAATGGTTTGTGTTTGTTTTCGGGTTTTTTTGTTTGGTTGGTTTGGATTTGTTTTTTGTTTTGGTTTGGTTTTTGTTCAGGCCTCACACCTCCTTGTTAAGGTGAGAAAGTGTTGCTTCTACACGGGCCAGAACTGCTGTCTTTCTGCCTAAAATAAGGCTCAATATTGAGTGTAGGTTTGTCTTGCAAAATATTTTAAACAAGTAAGCAATATTTGGGGGAAAAGTTTTAGCAAGGAATCAGTAGAGTCAATCCTGTGATTAGGTCAGGCTGCTGATGTTTGTTTGTTTGTATTCTGTTATTTCAGACCTGAGTGCCTAATGGGAATCCACTTAAAAAGTAGCCACTTGTAAGCTGTAGAAAGACCCTTGGTCTGCTTTGAGTTTGAGGCTTTATAGTGCACAGATGAGCCTTTTGGAATCTACAAGCATGTAACAAAGTTTTCTTTTGCATCTTCATTTTAAATGAAATTATAAGAGTTAAGGGTTTTTTGAAGGTAAGCATAGGAGTATTCTTCTCTTAAACGACCATTAAAAATTTTAACACACTCCTTGGTATGCTTTGTTGAAAAAATGCCTACAGGTGAGTACTATTTGTAGAGTTACTCTTTGATATGTGTCAGATATTTTACTTGTCAAAGTATGCTACGTGTATGTATTTTGCAAAGTAGAAGTATTATTATCAAATTAAATTCAATGTAGAAGTCGCTTATAACACAAATTTATAACTGTGCCTAGAACTTACAAAGCAAATTCAATGCTGGAAATTTTTTTGTTTTATGGTATATTGATTTTATTTATTTATTTTAATAGTAAAACTGTGGAATCAATTACTTATTTTTCCATTTCAGTTTCAGGAATAGACTGAAGAAACCATGGCAAATCAACGGGATTACATTAGCAGACCTATTTGCAATGGAATTTCTGTTCCTGAAAGTAAAATCAATTGCTTAGTGGCTGAAGGTCATGGACAACAAATTCTAAAAGTACTACAAAAGTTCAGAGAACAAAATATATTTTTCGACTTTAAAATTCTTGTGAATGATGAAATAATTCCTTGTCATCGTTGCGTACTGGCAGCATGCAGTGATTTTTTCAGGTAAACCTAATTTTGGCATGAGTTTGCAGGAAACAGATTCTAAGTTCTCTTGGAGGGAGGGAAGGAATACAATTACAAAAACTAAAAAATAAATCGGCACAATTTATATACATCTGCAGAGTTTTGACCAAAACTTTCAAATGTCGTATTAAGGAAAAAAAAAAAGAACCAACACGAACTACAGTGTTACATGCTTCACCATACCCCAGATACCTCTGTATTTCCAAAGTGACATGAGGACTCTGTGAATCTGAGATTCAGCCAGCAGTCTATACACTGACATAAAAATGTCAAAGTGTAAGTGCTTGGTTCTGCTGTTAGGTAGAATTGACACAAGCTGTGTATCTTCAACACATACCTGTTGCCTGTATCTGTGCTTAAACACCTGCAAGGGTATTTTTTGACTTTGTGTGGCGCAGCAGTCTATGTACTTTGCCATGTTTATATTGTGAAACATAACAGATTGATTACAAATTCATTTTGCACTGAGCAGTTGTGGATCAATTGTATATGGTTTTGGAATGAGGCTGGATTTTGTTCATCGAAGATGAGCTGTCAGTATAGTAGAGTATTTAAACAGATGTATTTTTTCTAAAGCCTTTCAGCATGAAATGGATCTCTAATCTTCCTACTGATGCTTTAAGCTATGCATTCCTAAGGGAGAGACAGATCATACACATCGAGGATATTCATTTATGAAGAATCTTGCTAACCTTTGTATAAGTAAGGCTCAAATTTGCAAACGCTGAAAGTCTGTTTCCAAACGCACTCTTTACTAAACCACAAAGCTAAGATGCTCTAACAATGAAAAAATGGGCTCTTGGAAATGAGTTAGTGACCTTGATTCAGTTGCCCATACATAGGTCAGAAGTGTTATTTTCATCTGACCTGGAGCATCCCATGGTCTGTGGGAGTCTGCCATATATGACAGAGAGTATAGGCTAGACAGGGACTGCGGGAAAAAGAAGAAATGCAGATGAAATAAGTTGTTTCTCCACTGTAGCACAGAACTATTCTGACACACAGAACTATTTGTGTCTCAAGTGTTTACTGCTTGAAGTGTTTCCTGCTTGAGAGCACAGAGATGCTCTGGCAGAAGGGAATGAAGTATCTTCTGGGGTAATTTTTTAGAACTTAAGCACATGGTGAGGATAGGGCAAGTGATGTTGCAGCACTGTTCTGTTGCCAGCACTTGAAAAACTGTAATTATTTTATCTTGCCATGTTAGATTGTGTGAAATACATACTTAGTAATGAAGCAGTCAAAGGTGTAATAAAATTTGCACAAATCTAATCAATAGTTTGTTCTGCGATTTCAACCATTGTCTTCGTATTCAGTCAGAATCTACTGTCTGCACAAGTTTCATCGTGACATGCAACCCTGTGTCAAAACCTCATTTTTTTAGCTGTGCCCATACATCTGTCTGTAAACTCTAAAGCAAGAATTAGGTTTTCTCACGCTTTTTTCTCCTTTTACCCCTCACCTACTTTTATTCCTGAGGAATGCACCCATCATCCATCCTGCCAATTGCTCAGCCTACAGTTTGGAAGGCCTTTTTTGACTTAATTTTCTTTATTCATCTACAACGTGTGACTTAAATCGTGGGGCTTTCCTACTATGTGTTTTTGAAATCATCCTTTCTTTCTCTAGCTGTTGAGACTGATGCTGCCCCGAACAATTTTACATGTTCTCTCACATTGAGAGCTGCCAGACTTCCATCATTCTGTGAAAAAAGTGTGCTGCTGTCATTTTTATGAGCCATCACTTCAAATATGTTTTTATCACCACTCCTTTTTCCTTCAACCATATAAAGCAAATGCATTGTTCTTAGAAGAACCTCCACATACAGCCTGCCCACCTTTATTATATACCCCTCATTTTCTCCTTCCTCTCACATCAGTATTCTCTGCTGTTTGCTAGATTTTTAATTTGTGTGTATATGTTCTGTATTTTATTCACAGAGCCATGTTTGAAGTTAATATGAAAGAACGAGATGATGGCAATGTTACTATTAGTAATCTGTCATCCAAGGCAGTGAAAGCTTTTCTTGATTATGCTTACACAGGAAAAACAGAGATAACAAATGATAATGTGGAAATGCTCTTCCAACTGTCGTCATTTCTTCAAGTTTCACTCCTTTCCAAAGCTTGCAGTGACTTTCTAATAAAAAGTATTGATCTTGTGAATTGCTTACAGCTGCTTTCTCTATCAGAAAGTTACGGTTCTGTACGCTTGTTTGATCAAGCGCTAGATTTTGTACAGAACCACTTTTCATTGCTGCTCAGATCAAGCGATTTTTTGGAGATGAATTTTGAAATACTACAAAAATGTCTCGAGGCTGATGAACTAAATGTCCCTGAGGAAGAATCAGTGTTGAAAGCTGTCCTTCAATGGACCAAACACAGCTTAGAAACACGACAGAAATATCTGCCTAATTTGATTAAAAAAGTGAGACTACACCAGTTACCTGAAAAGACTTTGCAGGACATTCTACATTCTGAAGAATGTTTACTTAAGAGTGCTAATTGCTCAGTAATAATCAATGATGCAGTTAAAAGTGTGCAAAACTTTAGTGGACTGTTTCCAGATGCACGCCCTTCAACAACAGAGAAATATATATTTGTTCATAAAACCGATGAAGATGGAGAAAACAGACACACATTCTGCTACAACATCAAAACAGATAAATGGAAAGAACTACCCCATACTCACATGATTGATCTTCCAGGGTCAAGTTTATCTAGTTACGGAGAAAAGATATTTATAACTGGAGGATGCAAAGGGAATTGTTACAGGACTGTCAGACTCCATATTGCTGAACCATTCCATGATGCCACTGACCAAACCTGGTGCTACTGTCCAGTCAGCAATGAATTCTCCATAGTGTCAGCTATGAAAAAACCAAGGACAATGCACACATCTGTTGTAACCTTAAATCAGCTGTTTGTAATAGGTGGAAAGACCAGAGGAGCTCAAGAAACACGAAGTCTTTTGGATGTAGAATCCTATAATCCTCTTTCCAAAGACTGGAAATCTGTAAGCCAGTTACCAAGAGGTATCTACTACCCAGAAGCAAGTGCATGTCAGAATATAATTTATGTCCTTGGCTCAGAAGTAGAGATTACTGATGCCTTTAATCCTTCTCTTGACTGTTTCTTTAAGTATAATGCCATGACTGATCAGTGGTCCGAGCTTGTAGCAGAATTTGGGCAGTTTTTCCATGCAACTCTGATCAAAGCCGTTCCAGTGAACTGTACATTGTACATATGTGACCTCTCCACCTACAAGGTCTACAGTTTTTGCCCAGAAACCTGTGTTTGGAAAGGGGAGGGATCTTTTGAATGTGCTGGCTTCAATGCAGGGGCAGTTGGGACAGAAGACAAAATTTATATATTAGGTGGTGATTACGCTCCAGAAGAAATCACAGATGAAGTTCAAGTCTATCACAGTAGTAGGTCTGAGTGGGAAGAAGTTTCACCAATGCCAAGAGCCTTAACTGAGTTTTACTGTCAGGTCATTCAGTTTAATAAATATAGAGACCCCTGGTCATCTGTACTGACAATTTGCTCTGGAGAATTTTGAAACTCCCGAGTCAAAAGAATCTCTTGAAATGCACAAGTTTTAGAACAGATTTTTAGGTATTAATTTACAAATGGAAAACCACATACTGTTTTGTTTAAATCTTCAGTCTAAATTGTATGCTATAGAATTGCTTTCAGAAGAGTCCATTAAATTGTCATTCATGCTAGTCCTATAGAAAGTGTTACTTAGTTAATTTTATATGCAGGTCTTCTCTGTAATTATAAATAATTTGCAAAGTGATACTACTTTTCAAAAAACATAATCATGAGGAATTAATTGTGTAATATGTGCCATTGTTCCTGTAATACTCAGTTGTCCCAGTAGACAAATCGCTGAGAAACTGACTGTGATACATTTTTCCCTATGTAACTGAAGTTTAAAAATCTACATTAGTGTTAGTTATTTTTTTATATTCATAAACCTGTAAGAATTCATTGTCAACCTCATCTTATTAGAATAACCTTAGCAAGGGCAAGAGCCAAAGTGACCTTCACAGCATTAAAACCAGGTATCTAACTTGAAGAGACTGATAATTCCTGTCATCTTACTTCAGCTCTTCACTTTTACCAGTTTTTCTTCATCCTTGTGCCTTAGTAGTAGCTGTAGTTTCTGTTTTCATCCCACTACCGGTGGTAAGATAAAGTTTGATTACTCTGCAGAGTGGGGAAGATTTCTACAGGATGATTCATGTGGGGTCTTTGCTTCAGTCACGCAGTTAACTAAAGAAAAAACACTTCAGGGTGTTTTCTACCAGAAGTCTTCCATCTCTGAAGTCTCCAGTGGTACCTACTAAGCAGCCACTAAGCTGCTTAAAAGAAGCAAGCTGCAAAATAAATTTTAGTTGTTGCTTCGGTTAACTATGGGAAAAGTTTGTATCTTGTCATACATCAAATACAAAGTTACAAAAATAAATCCCCATATTTAATCTCAAAGTAAACAGTATTTCTAAGGGGGGGAAAAAAACTTTTTCTGATTTCTATAGTGGTTTAAATTAATGAAAACAGTTTATCTTGTACTTCATGGTAATTTTAAGTGTTAAAATATTACATGGTAAACACTATACAATGTATTGCTTGATAAACTATAAGTAGTCATCTATTATAATGTTAAAATTGTAATGGTCTTTTAATATTAGTCTAGGTATACACTGTGAAGTAAATTTGATCTCCTGCATACAAAGGGGGACCTGTGTCTCACAGAAGGACACTGAAATTAGCTACGGTTCATAAATTCATTTGTAATCTTCCACAGACGGAGCATTTTCGTCCTTATCAGCTATTTGAATTAGATATTGGGAGCCGGTATGTTCCATGTAAGTATCATTTAAGCAGTGAAGTTGTCTCGTGCTAGACAGAATTGTTCTAAATATACATCATTTCCAAGCAGTTTCAAAATGAACAAAATTTAGCAAGGCACCTAGAACATCTTTGATATGGCTTGAGACATGGTAAGTTTGTTATCACATCACCACTACTGCATGTACTTTTTGCAAAACTCAAGCTCAATATTCATGCTTAAAGCTTAATATTGCCTAGCAGCATATTCTGATTTAAACAGTAAACAATAGAACGTTCCAGTTCTGTGATGGACTGTAATTTGTTATACCTTTAAAAATTTAGATAACATTAATCACAAATATTTTCTTAAGGATGTAGATGAAAACTATGCATATTTGGAGAACATTAATAAAGTGGAACCCTCCCACTCATAATTTATTTGTGTTAAGATGCATGTCAGTTCTGTAGAAGTAAATAGCTTCTTGTTATAGTATTTAAGTCAACTTTCACATTTATTTTACTCATTTCGTAGCAAGTATCCAAATCATAACTACACTTAGCTATGTAAACTTTGCAATCACCATACTGAAATTTATTATGGGAACACAACAAAACAAATCTGTTGGATAGTTTATGAGAGGTGGAGAATACTATTACTGCTTACTGAAATAGTAGGAGAAAAATAGACTTATAGGAGGACATTTTTAGCATTAGTGAAGCTACTCAGTGTAGCACAGAGACTATGTTAACCCTCAATTATTGCAGCTTGTCACTTCATCAGAATCCAGGGCCCAGTTCTCCTTTACTTGTGTTTTTGTGTTGTTTTATAGCTGAGTAAGAGGAGTATGCAGTTTATGCAATGAGAAGAGTAACGTATTATGCCCATAGTACATGGGTATAAATAGCTATGCAAGTTCGAAGAGACTAGAGAATTGGAAGAGGTTTTTATTGCCACTGTCATGACCAGATTGCTGGGACACATAAGCAGCATGTCAGTCAGTCCGTAGTTCAAGTGATGCTCTTTCCTCCAAGTTTTTTCTCAGAGCAAATTTTTTTTGGCAGTCTTCCATCCAACTGCTTGCCATATGTATAAGCTTCTGTCATATGACATCAGGCAGAGCAGTGATGTATGTGCTACGTGACTCTCTCTCTCTCTCTCTATATATATATATATGAAAACTGAATTAAGCTTAATTTGGAAAACTAGACATGATTCTTTAATATTCTATGCTACATTTGCACAGGAACTAATGTCAGTTCCCAGTTTGACAAATCATCCGTGGATTTCAAATGGAGTTGAGCACTCTTACTCAGTGATTAGGAAATAACGTAGTAGTGTCACTTTATACCACTGCTTACTGAAAAGTTACTGTGAAATAATACTAATTTTCTTCAGTTATGTAGGTAAGCCTGTATTACAGCTCTCACAGAGGAAAAAAAGTCATTTGCTACAATTCCACATGCAGAGTTAAATTTGATGGCAGAACTGAGCGCAGAAGAAGCTGTCTTACGAAGTTGTAGTTAAGTACAAGGCTTGATGATAAAATTAAGGGCCTGTGTTCCAAATCCTGTGATTAATCGCTAATGATGTTAGAAATCTCAGCAAAATCAACTACACTACGCAGAAGAATACAGATTACTTGCATGACCAACTGCTGTAGGTTTGAATCAATAGATTTTTCAGTCTGCGCAGGTATTATGCAATTTTTAAAAAGTCACAAAATTAGTGTGAAGCAAGTTTTTTTGATGTTTTTTCTGACTCCTCAAAGCTTTGTATGAAAAGTACCTTCCTCTAAAAATATTCACTGGCTAGACTGATTACATATGTTCTCACTGAAAAATAGTAAGATGTTTAAAACATACAAATTGCATGTAAAGTTATGATTACTATTTGCACTTAAACAATGTAACCAAAATACTTCTAATAGTATTCTATTATATGTCACACAACACTTCATAAGCATGACCAGTATAGTATACACAAAGATAATATATACTGTATGTGGAATTTTAATATCCACAGTATGATTATATTGGATAATCTTAATTTTTGAAGAATGCTATCAAAACATTATGGCACTTTGGTAATGTTATCATACTGGTTTAGTTGTTAAATGTCAATTATTCAGGTGTTTATGTTGGTTATGTTTGCACAGACATGATTATTATTTATGTACTAATGAATTTATTTTCTATATACTAAATATATTTGTAGTAAATCAGTCCACTGCTGTTAAAAATTCATTATAGTCACGAAATGGAGTAGATTTACTGGGTGTAATTTATTTCTGGTATTACTCCATGATGAAAGCTGTACACCACCTTTGATTAGTAGTCTGCAGTATGTAAGGTAACAGAATGTGCTGTCTGCCGTTTGTAACGTAAGTTTAATTTTAGATGTTTGAAGGTGACCAAAAGGAGGCAGCACGAGATCTATTTTAATTAAAACAGGCTGAAACCAGGACTATTTATAGCTGAACATTATGCTCTGTTTACCTTTTTTCCCTTCTAAGATCCAATAAAGCATAGAGATCAGTAACATTTTGCTGCTGCCTGGGCTCTGCTGATATGTGGAAAGTATGATACTACCTGTTTGACAAGATGTTCATTCTTATATGAAATAAAAGCACTGAGAAACTGAATCCTCAGGTCTGATTTTTTTTTTTCAATTAGTTTAAAAATACAATATTTCTAATGAAGTTAACGACTGTTTTTTTCCTTTCTTTTTTTCAACTGCAGAACATTTTGAATGTTAGATTATAACCAAGAATGCAGTTGGCATTCATGAAAACTGCAGTGAGAGGGTTTAAATTATCCTTGGATCTCTTATTTGTATCTTCTTTGTGTATCAATTTGCTGCACCCATGCTAAATATGATTTAGTCTGCTGAAAAGTTGTAAGTTTACCAGTTGTCAAGTACTTATTTAAATCAGTATCTTTTTTATTGGATCCATCTACCTCAGATTGATATATAGGAGTGTTTTTTACAGTTTAAGTATTGCAAATGATTATGTATTTATTTTGACTGAAATGGGCTTCCACACTAAGAAGTGGCTTTAAATAAAAGGAGATATAAGCTACTTAGGCTAAAAATGGTATGCAAAGGGTGTAGAAATGGCATTAATACAAAACAAGAGAGCACTGTATCTTCTAGCATTCGTGGAGTGAATTCATAGAGAATTCATAGAGTTGGAAGGGACCTTAAAGATCATCTAGTTCCAACCCCCTGCCACGAGCAGGGACACCTCCCACTTTACCAGTTTGCTTCCAGGGATGAGACATCCACACTTGCCCTAAGCAAGTTATTTCAGTGTCTCACCACCTTCATAGTAAAGAATTTCTTCCTGATGTCCAATCTAAATCTACCCTGCTCTAGTTTAAAACCATCGCGCCTTGTCCTGTCACCCCATGCCCTCTCAAAAAGTCCCTCCCCAGCCTTCTTGTAGCCCTCCCCCCCCCTTCAGGTACTGGAATGCTGCCATAAGGTCTCCCCGTGCCTTCTCTTCTCAGGCTGAGCAACCCCAACTCTCTCAGCCCGTCCTTGTAGGAGAGGTACTCCAGCTCTCTTTATGGCCCTCCTCTGGACTCTCTTTAACAGATCCGTGTCCTTGAGCTGGGGGCCCATGAGCTGGATGTAATTCTTCCAGAACCTAAAATTCTTTGATCTTCAATCCTCTGTATACATAAAACAGTTACAGCAATAAAAACTAACCTTTCAACACTCCAAGGCCCTGGCCCCACAGCTAGCAAAAGCCATCTTGAGATCATAGAATCATAGAATGTTTGGGGTTGGAAGGGACCTCTAGAGACCATCTAGTCCAACCCCCCTGCCAGAGCAGGATCCCCTAGGGCAGCCACACAGGAACACATCCAGGTGGGTTTTGAAAGTCTCCAGAATAGGAGACTCCACAATCTCTCTGGGCAGCCTGTGCCAGTGCTCTGTCACCCTCACAGTAAAGAAGGTTCTCC